CGAATGTTACTTGAACAATGAAAGAACCCACTTGAATAATGAATTAGGTTTTGGCAGATCAATGGAGAGATGACTGACAGTCCGCGGCAGTCCATGTCACAACTCCAAAACAAGAGCCAAGCAGCAGCAAGGGGGGGTGCCACAAGCAACCAGCAGCCTTTCAGTATCATGCGCCCAATACGAGAGGTTTTAGAACCAGACGTGGCTCGGACGAGAGCATCTCGCAATACGAAAGAGCATGTCCTGTTCTCTCTGTTTAGTAAAATTAAAAGCAGGGTAACAAGAGGAACCCACCCACGCTCTCCTTCACCGGCTCTCCCTGAACAATAACAACTTGGGGTCAAAGTGACAGCAATCACATCTGTTTTCCTTTCCAACCTGCAAATCATCATCCTGGGTATTTTTAAGATGAAAACAAGAAGTCAGCATTTCAAGCCATGAAATTAGAAACTGAGTTTTGGAAAGAGCTGTCTAGATATTGCTCCAATAGCAATTGCGTTTCTGGCAGAAATGACCACTTTTCCAGAGAAGGTATCCTGTACAATCAACCCCAACAAATTCTTCTGCTCATACACAAAACCAATTTGAATTAACAAGCCTGTCCTCACCATAATTCAAAACCAGTCATTGAAAAATAATATCTTCCCCACAACCACATCCCCATAAATCTGGAAGTAAACAGAAGCCAAAGCAAGCTCTGTATGTATCTCCCTAAAGGAAGAACAACAAAAAACCTTTTCTCAGCTTTTCTGGCAGCTGATGGGTGACTGAGACATTCTTCTGCGACTTTCACATCCTGAGAAACAGTGAAGTATTCAACGTTCATTGACACTCCTGCCTTCGATGTCTTGTTCTGACCTTCCCTTGCAGCAAGGATCACTGGAGCATTTCAGTGACCAGCGGAATAGACTGGATTTCTGTTATTGCTTAGATGAAGTTGGGTTGGGCCCACTCAGCTGGACAAATAAACTCATCTCAATGCCATATTTATGGGGCTAGATTGACTGCAGTTTGCTCTGTGTCATTCAGAGCAATTGACCAATTTCAGTGTTGCACATGGATGGGGGCAAACCGATCGCTCGGGGTTACACATGCAGAAGAGTATGAGAGACCTTCTGAGCTGCAAGCTGGGAAGCTGGCCACTTTCTCCCAGTGAAAGCACAGGAGGGAAGAAGGCATACGGCAGTAACCTAACTCTTGTTGTTTAAACATCCACACTTGTTTCTTCAGAAAACCCCACCTCTCCTGAATTCTGCAAGCTGTTTCATATTGCCATGTTCCCCAAAATGCCTTTTCCCTTTGACAGGCTTTCTGCTCACCGAAGTCCTGGCTGTGCTGGGTTGCAAGATAGTAATGGTGTACAAACCAAAAGTATCTTTGTGGCTTCTTTCTTAATACATTCCTTTTTGTGAACGGCACAGACCCAGTTAGTTTTATAGCTACATCTATGGCTGTGCTGCAGAAACATCAAACCTGCCTGTGGACTGAGCTGGAGCAACATGCAGCAGCAGAGACTGAGTTTCTTGCTAGAGCTGGTGAGCTGACAGAAGGCAATGGGAGGTTTACAAGAAAGGTCCTTCCTGAATGATAAACGATTCCTGGTCCGTTCGAAGGATGCCAGACCTACCTACTTGTTCTGTTCTGTGCAGAGAGAAAAAAAGGAGCTACAAACCCCAGATTTTCAATGCATATTCAGCAACCCTAGGCAGCAAATGCAGAGTATGTATTTAAACAATAACCCTTGTAAAAACCTTGCTCCCTTGTCATAGGATGCTTTATGTTTCTATTTTTAGCTTTTCAAGTGTCAAGAAGCAACAGAAAAAATATTGCTGAACAGCACTGGACACCAAGGAAAAGCAAGTGAGGCAAAAGAAATCTGAAGTAAGCTCCGCAAGATGAGGTTAAGTTATTCAAAGCTCTCTTTCCTGCAAGACAGGTGATGTATTTTCAGTCTAAATATCCCACCCAATTCTGTCCTCAGTGAACAACCAAGTGACAAACTGCCAGTCAAACTGAAAAGCATCCCCACTCATCTGGGTTTCCCGTGCCACTGCCCCGCACCAAGCAATGCTTTATCAGCAGCTACAGAATCTTAATTTGGCTATTTTTAACAACTACAGCATTTTGCAATCCTGACCACCAGAAGGATTTGCAAATCTCCCCAAATACTTCTCCCAGGTCCTGATAACTTTGCCAGCGTGAATAGGAAACTTCAGGCTTGCAGAACGAGCCGCTGCCAGCTGACAACGCAGTGAAGATTTTCTTTCATATCTGCAGTTTGCATGAGTAGGCAGCTGGGATTGTGATGAATTACTATCTCTGATTCCAATGCTAAGTTTAAGACGTTTATTTGGCACCGTCTGCTAGAAGAGATGCTGCCAATATCAACTATTGGTATTAGCAAACTTCTTCGGGAAAACTACCGAAGGTGTTTCACAGTCTCTCTCTGCTTATAACAGGAGTCAATTCAGGGAACAGAGCTTTTTATTGATTCAACTGTAATTGAATTTTGCTCAATGTTTATCTCAAAACACTGTTTCAAAAGAAAAACTGAAACATCTTGTTTGGAAAACAACTCAAATAAGTAATTTTCAGTTCTTAGTTACACATTTTCTTGGGGCCAAATCCATTTCCCAAGCTCATGAGCCACTTTGATTGCCTGAGAACTTGCATCAGCCCTTTGCTGTGCCCCCGTCCCATTTTGGTGCTCAGACTGTCATCTTTTCAGCAGCTGGCACTGCAAAGCATGTTCATACAATCCTGCAGGTCTGATCTCTGAGCAGAAATAGTGCATATATAAAGCCCATGACCAGCATCTATTTGGAAGTTGGCATATCCCCATCCCTGGAAACATTCAAGGCCAGGCTGGACGGGGCTCTGAGCAACCTGATTTGGTTAAAGGTGTCCCTGTTCACTGCAGGGGGGTTGGACGAGATGACCTCTAAAGGTCCCTTCCAACCCAAAGCATTCTATGGTATTTTCTAACCAGTATTCAACCAACCAAGCAACTCATTTAGATTTCAGGAGCAGTCATCACACTGATGTGCACGAACGGAAAATCTACAAATCTTCATTGATATGTTTGCAGAAGATTCAACCATTTGATCTTAACTGAGCATTTTTACACTTGCAAAAACCTAAAAAGGTGGTGTCTTCTGTCTGCAGCCTTCCTGCATGCCGCAATGCTCTTCACCCCACTCACAAGAGAAGCCACATTTATTTCGATGGTATTACTTTTATGCAATAAGCAACTTAACTGTCCCTCTTGAAGTTTAGATTCTACTTTTGACTTCGCCCAAAAGCTTAGAAACCTATTCATGGTGTTCCAATTATTAAGCTTACAGGTACCACTTATAAATTTGACATGTACATTTAAAATTTTGTAGGTAACACTTACAAAAACTATTAAAATCAGCCAGTGGTACATACATAGGTTGTTGTAAATGTCAACTTTGATACTGCTATGTGTATTTCCCATCTTTAACATGTATTTCAGAGATGAAAAAGCAAGACTACAATCCACCTAGAACAAATACAGAGCAGCTTACAAGCTCCATTTGCCTTTCACTTACTGAGGCCATATATCTATTTTGTTATTACTATTATTATTATTGTTATTATTCATCATGTTGTCATGGCTCTCACCCCACCCTAGATCATTTACCACAGCTGCTTAGTTCTTTCTGTGGGACTCTCCTCGGCAGAGCAACAGAACTCCCCACAAAAGACAAGGGCAGTAAATATTACAATATTTAAAATAAATTCTATGTCCAGTTTATTCTCCAAATCCCCAGCCTTCTGTAAATACCACAAAGCAGCTTCAACAAATGGCTAATGGGCACCTATAGGTTTTCTATGGCCTAGCTGCAAAAGCTCATTAATGCTCTAGCTTGGGGATTTGCTTTTTATGGACTTCGAAATGTTTTGAAATACATCAACCCATCACGTAAAGATGCTGTTCAGCAGAAATTTCACTGCACCACGCTGCAAGCAGAATCCTCAAACTGCAACCTCTCTTTTTAAAAAGCATTTAAAAATCTCCAAACAAATGGCTTTAATCTTCTAAAGATCTAGAAAGACTGTACCAAGAAAACTTTCCTTTTTATAGTACAGTATTTCTCTGAGATGAGCTCAAAGTGTTAGCTGAGATAATTATCAGAGAGATTATGCAGATCTTATTTTCCAAAGGTTTTGTTTGCTCTCTTGTTGCATAATTGCTTGGTGTTTGTATGGAGCTCAGAAAACACAAAGCATCAGAGAAATACCAAGAATTTTTTATTTAACAGAAAAATAATTCTCCCAAATGATATTAACAATTTCAGCAGTCTTCACTGTATTTTGAAGATTTCTGTTAACCTGGAGAGCTGCTCCGTGATCTAACCTTGGCAGCACATGAAATGAAAAATGTGCCTTACCACTCTTGCTTTTAGACTATTTCAGCAGAGCTGCAAAACAGCGGGAAGCAGAGAAAAGGTGCAATATAGCGTCTAACGATTTCCTGCACTTCTAGCTTTGCTGGTGACAAAGGCCGCCACATTCCGGAGACAAAATCAGGACTTGTTGAAAGTCAAACCAGAGCCATAAAGTACAAAATCACTTCATGGAATCACTAAACGTTTCGTAAGCTGGCTAAAACCACTTAAAACGTATCCAAGCCTGTGCAAGTTTATAAGCAAAACTCAGTCAGACCACCTGAATTTGAATACACATTGCAACTTTTAACCAAATTCCAGCTAAGACCCTTCAAACACAATCGAAGCTGTTGTTAAAGCATAAAGAAGAGACCCAGAACTCAGTAACAGTGTCATCAGGCACGCTTACGTACGTACTATGCTTAGTCTTGCAAACAAGTTAAAAGCTACAGCAACAACATGATTATTTACTGGTACTTCAGATTTTTTAGGATGTCAAGAAAGCTTACAGCAAGTGTGCTCTGCAACCACCATACTATCTATACAACCACCTTTTGCTTAAATGCCAGAAAATAAAATTCTACTTACAGCCAACCATCATCATGGCCACCGAAAAGATCTTCTCTCCATCAGTGGTTGGTGCTATGTTTCCAAATCCTATCGTTGTAAGGCTTGTCATGGTAAAGTAGAGAGAGGATATGTACAAGGAGTCTTTACTGGGTCCTCCTTCCCACTGCCCTGAGCCAGTGGTGTTGTATCGATATGGTGTCCCGATACTCAGTGCCAACTGGTAGAGCCAGCTATCTGTTTTGATTGTATTAGTGACTTCATCTATAACTTCATAGTCCCCGATGCTGTACCATATGCAGGCTAGCCAGTGGGCCACCAGTCCAAATACACACACCAACAGTACCAGTACAGCAGCACCATATTCCAGATAATGGTCCAGCTTCCTGGCAACTCGACCGAGTCGTAGAAGACGCACCACTTTTAAGGAACTGAAGAGGCTACTGATCCCCTAGAAAAAAACAAAAATCATTATTTCATCTGAAATATCCTGCTGTTAACACAGAAGGCTGTACAGCAATTCCTGCATCTGCTTTAAATCTTTTTGTACCTCATCAGGGTAAATCAAGTCTGGCACTCATTAGGTGGATAAATTACTTCGTTCAAGTTCAGTCTTTCCAAGTGGCAGAAGAGTTCTGTGGAATCCAAAGTGAGAAATGGCATGTTTATTACAAAGAGGAGTGATTCGATGCTTCGGCAGTTTGAAGTAAACGGAAGACTCCGCTCAGATCTCAAGCAGGTCAAACGTGGTGGAAGAGCAGTCACAGATGGAACTACACCATCCAAGTGGAGCCTTCTGGAAGCTTCTCAGAGAACAGTATTCTATTAAATCCAAGCAGAGGATTGCTACTCTGGACAAAACAGCAGTCCACCTACTTCAACAACCCTCAGTATTAACAGATTCTCAAGACAAACATCAGAAAGTAATTCTAACAGGGAACTACAGAGCAATCTGCCTATTTTTCCTCTCACCCACCAGAGAGTAGCTGCGGAACCTCCTCTAGTCCAACAGTCTCCACCTCATATTATCCTTCACCGCAGCTAACGTAACTCCGGATATTTTGTTATTTGTAAGAAGTCTCACTGTCTGAACATGGAACTAACAACTGCGGGCACACAGCCTTTCTGAGGGAGGGTAATACAGACCACAAGGCCCTGGCAAGAAAACCACATGCCTCTGCATATAGGGTTAATCTCCTTTCCCATCAACAGATGTGGCAGATATTTTCCTAAAGCAAATATTCGTGCGGTCAGGTTTTTTTTCCACACAAGATAAATGAAGTACGAATAAATGGAAGTACAAATATTTAGGGAATAGAAGCACAGAGACCATCAAAAAGTTAATAGAAACATCTGAGAGGGAACAAGAAATGTGTATGTCCTCCTCAATGCACAAATGCTTTGCAATGTATTTTAATAGAGTTTATAGATACAAAAAGAGAAGAAAAATATGTTCCTGATCTATTGCAATCCCATGATATACCTAACTTGTGCATTAAATTAATTAGTGGCTCAAAATAGAAGGTCTGCAAAGGAAGGTTTCTAGTATAAAACATTCAGAAGCTGAAGACATTTAATTTAAAGTAGAAATTAAGACATAGAAAGCAATGAGGCAAACATTCCTAGTTACTGTGCCAAGATTAAATTGCCCTTTTCTGTGCATCATTATCAAATCAGTCTAGTCAAAACACTGGCTAATTATATTATCAAACAGCAAAAGACTGGAGTTTCTGGAGTTTTCCATACCAGAAAAACATTAATCTCTTTTACACCTCTGTTTCTTTTCACAACTAACGTTTGAAGGGTAACATACATCGGATATTTCCAGATGTAATCTGTTTGACAAAGTTCTTGTATGCTTTTCAAATCCTGTTGGAATTTGTTTCAGATCCTCAAATCCTTAATAAATTGAAATTCTATATTTGCATTCAAGCCCTCATGATGACTAATACCATGGAGGGAAGTGGAATTTTCCCATTTTGATTTCTGTATTTTGCATTTGCACAGGACACAGATTTAGTTTATCACTTTTATTTGCATCTAAACGTGTATCTACTTATTTGCTTTGGGATATATGTCTGTGAGGCACTCTGAACAGCCAACTTGTCCAACACACTGGGAAGTCCCTTACAATGTTCATTACACAATGGACGGAGGCCCGTGGACTACTGAATGAGGGTCACCCCACAGAAACGAGATCTACATTAAAAAAGGAAACTACAGACTAGTTTAATACTGTATTTCATGAAATTACCCTGCAGCGTGTTTCAGTGAATTTAGCCTGATTCTGAAAGTTTACAACTTGCTGTGAAATTGGAGGGAGAAAACAGCAGGGTGTTTTTTTGTAGGATCACGTCCTGATGCGTTGGTCAAGAAGATATGTATTATTTCCATTTTACTTAAAGAGCCCCTGTTCATTACCAAGATTAAGGCTGGGCAAGGTGTTCGAGACCTGGCATCCAAACTTGGGAGTCCCCTTTTTGCACCCAGTAGTTTAAGTCTGCCCCAGAGGCAAGGCTTACACTGCACTTTCTACTGCACAAACCCAAACCAAGACTCAACCCTTGATGAGGAGAGTTTACAGTCTGACACTCCATCCTCCATCCATCTTACATATGGATCCATATTACATATATATGGGGTCACAACAACTCCATGCAATGCTACAGGCTTGTGGAAGAGTGGCTGGAAAGCTGCCCAGCAGAACAGGACCTAGGGATGTCGGTCGACAGCCGGCTGAGTATGAGCCAGCAGTGTGCCCAGGTGGCCAAAAGGGCCAACACCGTCCTAGCTGTTGGAGCTGGGCCCCTCACTCCAGGAAGGACATTTGAGGGGCTGGAGCATGTCCAGAGAATGGCAACAAATCTGGTGAGGGGTCTGGAGCCCAAGGCTGATGGGCAGCGGCTGAGGGAACTGGGGGTGTTCAGCCTGGAGAAGAGGAGGCTGAGGGGAGCCCTTATCACCCTCTACAACTGCCTGACAGGAGGCTGTAGCGAGGTGGGTGGTGGTCTCTTTTCCCGAGTAACAAGTGATAGGACAAGAGGAAATGGCCTCAAGTTGCGCCAGGGCAGGTTTAGATTTTGTATCAGGAAAACTTTCTTCACCGAAAGTGTCGTCAAGCATTGGAACGGGCTGCCCAGGGAAGTGGTCAAGTCCCCATCCCTGGAGGTATTTAAAAGATGGGTAGATGTGGTGATTAGGGACATGGTTTAGTGGTGGGATGGCAGGGTTAGGTTAAGGGCTGGACTCAATCTTAAAGATCTTTTCCAGCCTAAACAATTCTATGATTCTATGGTTCTACATTTTCGCTTTCTAGTTTTACATGGACAGTTTAGCAACTCTACAACTAATATAAAAATACAGCATTTATTTTGAAGCCTTGGAGAATGTTTTTGCTGTGATTTTTTTTTCCTAAGCACAGACAACAATCACATCTCTTATGTATAAAAAGATGTTTCATTTTAGCTGCCACTGAAATGTATTCTTTCCAAAGAGTAATTTATTTAAGTTTCACTGTAAGTCTTAAAGCCTGTTCAGTCTGACCCACTACTTTAAGACCAAAAAATCAGAGATACATTTATAAGCATTCACATTTCATGTCTAATCTTGCAAAATGTAAAGACAATATTGGAAGCTTTAAATACCTATCCCATAAAACACTACCTAGGAAAAAGCAATTAAGCACATACTAAATGAATACATGATTCATCATACTGTGTAAACACTGGGTTGGGTCAAGGTGGTACCTTTACACTTAAAAAAAAAAAAATTGCCTTATGATAAATGCACAATTGCTAATATGCAAAGCTCTGCCTAAGATTCAGCAATGACCTTTTTGGTGGAAATTATGTGAAGGACTAACTGCCTTGAATTACATTTGGACTATTAAGAAATTCAGTGTTCTAATCTCAACTGATTGCTTTCTGCCTTTAATTCCATTTTTCTTTTAACTGTATTTATGCTCCATAATGAATATTTTGGAAATCCTTCGACTAAAGGATGAGCATCTGCTCTAACTGAAGTAACCTCAGCAGTCAAGGAACAGAGAGGTGATTAGAAACCTTGAATGGAGCATGTAATCCCGTTTGGCACTAGCATCATGTAAATAGCGCACATTTGATACTGAAGATCCAAATTTCTGGGAGGAGCATTTGTCACTCTAAGGCTGTATTTAGTCAATTGGACCAATTGTCTGTAACGTCTGCTGGTCTGTGTTCTCTGACAGAGTATAATCTCGTTATGAACCATCCAATCCCACCCCTTGAGGTTTTGACTAATGTATTTGATCATGTCTTAATCAGATGAGGACATTCAGCTTGCTCATCTTCAGTCATCTCAGCTGCAGAAATCTCTTAACTGAAAAAACACTTTCTGAAGAATTCCATTTTGTGTGTCAAGTTTGGAACCAAATTCCTATCTGGTACACATCATCAACTTAAGTGTTACAAGTGTGAGTCACAGGAGACTTTCCCAGTGACCTCTAAGGCCATCAGATCAGGAGAGGGCACAAGCAGTAGCTCTGAACCAGCCCTTTTTGTACCACTGTTGCTATTTAGCAGACAGCTGAAGCCACCACAAAGGATGTAGACAATGTCAAATTTATCCAGAAAGACATTTTTGAGGAATGGATGTTCAACTTTGGACCTAAATAAACCATACATGATTGAACAAAGCCCAAGTTTATTGACATAAGCGCCTTGCAAAGTCTGTGTTCTCAAATTCTCTTCATATACTAAGAAAGGAAATTCAGTTTGATAGTGGAGGCACAAGTGATGACAGCACTCGGTCTGAAACGCAGAGGGACAGCTCCTTCCTATTAAAATTACCTGAATCTCACCATCTCAGATCCTAGATGTTACCACATTGTCAAACTTCAGTCTTCCGGGATGACAAGAGTGTCTAGGCTGTGTGTCTGACTCTCAACTTTTCTGACCACAAGGCTGAGAAAGATGTTTCCTGCAATTGCAATACACACCATGGGAACAGACCTCTGCACCTTGAGCAAGAACAGGGAGCTAAGTTCTCTTGCACTTAATGAATCCCTGATACTCCCGGCAATGGGAAGGATGAAGCTGTCAAAGTCATGTTACGCAGGGGTTGAGAGCCAAACATGCAAGAGGACAAAAGGAACGTTGGCACCAAAGGAAAACAAAGGTTAACAAGTGTGGGAAATCACTCAAGTTAGTGTGAGCGCCAGAGGTGCCCTCCTAAAGCAGGAAAGCAAGCGCGGAGTCTGCTCTACACTAAAGGAGCAACAGGATAGCAGAGCTGCATCTTTGGAAGAGACATAAAAGATTTAATCAGCTGGTTACTTGCTAATCTAGTAAGTCTCTTCTGCAGTAGGAAATTACTGCATAAAGGTTTTAAAAAGTAAAATAAAAACAAAATCACCCATTAGTTACTACCATCTAAATATACTAAAATCTGCTTAAACCTCAACACGAAATCCCA